GGTGTCAAAAAATCAAAACATCAATTTTCATGGACCGTTATTTTATATTGTCTTATCGGAGAGAGAGACTAGTTATAGGAATGCAACAAAAATAAGGAAAAAACAAAGACTGCTTAGGAAAACGCGAAAATACGGTCTTTGGTCTCATGTGCACCTCCACAGATTTGATGTTACGCCACGGTCGTCCACTCTCTCTCTTTTGTTTTTAGGTTTTGTATAATGATCCCTCGTTTTACTACTTGTTTTCCGTAACAACCCTAATGTTTCAATATTTAAGCATTTGACCATTATTTTAATGGGCTCAACGAAGTTAATGGGCCTAAGCGATACACAGAAGCTACTAATTGAAAACAGAGGAGGGAGAAACAAAAGAGCAATAAGAACAATAATACATGACTCAAAACAATGAGAAATTAGTCTTGGTTATATTGGTTTGCAGGACTTGACATGATCATCAAGCTATGGTACACAAAAGACATGGACTCTCAAAGAATGGTGCAACCACTTCCACTTTCATAAGTAGTAACAGACACAACATCACAACTGTTGCAATAAGGAGGCATAGGCTCAGGCTTTGGTGGTTCAGGTAGCACTTCCACAGGCTTTGGTGGGTCAGGTGGTTTTGGTGGTCCAACGCTTACGATTACAGGTTTCTGTTTAATCTTCTTTAGCCGTTTTGCAACACAAATCGGATCCATAGTCCCTACCACGGTAAGTATGCTTGCGTTCTCATCTAATGAAACATGATTCACACCTACAACAAAATCTTATGCTCAATATGATATGTTAAAGAACAGATTGTTTTAAGACTTTTTTCTTATTACCTTCTAACTCCGTGACTGCTTCCATGATTGCACTATTGCATTTCCCACAGTTTATATCCACCTTGATCTCAACTTTCTGCTCAAAAAACACAACAAAAAATGGAATTATTCGGTGTCGGGTTTCGAGAAAAATCTAGTACTATGATGTTTTTTACCTTAACAGTCATGATGATGGATTAGGCAAGAAAGAGAAAGAAGTGGATTAATGGAATTCTGGAGAATGAAGAAGTAAGAGGAGATGTTTAAGAGAAACATGTAAAGACAAAGACAAGACAATAGATGACAGATTGGAATAATGTTGAAGCAGTTGAGGTTGTCTTTGATCAGTATTTGTAATTAAATAATAATCAAAGAGATTACAATATCTACGTGCTTAGATAGTTAGATGCATGTTTTGAAAATATATTTATATATTTTGAATGATTTAATATACGTTTTGGGCGTGACCCAAAAAAAAAAAAAAATACGTTTTGGGAATTTGATTAGTTGGTATTCGGACATCATCTTATGGACTCTACTTGGGAACATTATTGAAGAGGGAATTTGTTTAATTCTGCAAATTCGTGATTATATTCAGTCACATATTCTACTATATCTAATTTTGTACTTACTTAACCCCAAATATTTTTATATTATGAACAATGATCATGCAAATGCATGGATGTAGAAATTTGATCTTGGTTCGGTTCAAAATTTTGGTTTTATTTGGGTAGAAATTTGATCTAAGTGCCGGTTTGGATTCGATTAAACCAAAAAACCTCTTGAGTTGTAACTTGTAACCAATAAAACAACCAAAAATCATCTTCCCTTCTTTTAATCATTTCGAGTTTGGTGATTATTAGATTTAAAGGTGTTTTTTGTTTTGTTTAATGGTGAGTGTCATTCTATATAACTATATAACTATAGAGCTAATTAGTGTCTCCAACAAACAACCCTTTCTCACCAAATATTAACCAACGATCAGAACACCTAAAACCTAATTATGGCAACAAAATTAAAATTAAACAAGCCTATGGCCCCTCCATATTTATCTCTTCTCCATTAGTTTCTCCACTGGTTAAATCTTCTTTACACAGATATATATAAATTGAGAAGCAAGTTCAAAGGTTTATCTCAAACTCATCAAAAACATTTTCTCAAGAACAATCAACAATGGCAACTTCAATGAATCATCTTTTCATCACCATCTTCCTCATGGCCGCCTACACGGCCATCGCGGAAACAAACATGCTTCAAGATCTTTGTGTTGCCGATCTCTCTAACGGTATATAACGTTTTACATTCTGTTTGCATTCACATTTAGCAAACCTACAAATTTCCAATC